AAAATATTGGTAAAATCATTCATATATTGTGTAATAATAAATTCGTGTTCAAGTGTATTTATCAGTGTTGTTGTTTATACAATATGAAAATTAGACCACAGAAGATGACTTTTGATTAATTGTTGAGTTTTTATAAACCATTAAACCATTAAACTTTAAAATAATATTTAATCGGTTTGGTACCAGCATACCTTCTATTTCCTTATCGGTTCAGCCAACTCACTACAGGACGTTGCTAAATTTTTATAAGTAATTATTTAAAAAAATTTAAGTTATTATTATAGTTTTACTTTTATTTCTTTWACAAGTAGTGATTAATCGTCGTATTTGTTGCGCGATGATGGYTATGTRCGGAACTCATTTCACTAATGCATTTGACATTTTTTTCTTATTCTTCAAATTTTCATTCCGCTCTAAGTAGTACAGAACGATCTTGTGTCAAGCACTTGTCGTAATTCACGAAACTTCATTATAAGTCCGCATACACAGCCTGCAACTTTTTATATACACTTTAATATCGTACAAAGTAACATAATCAAGTCAGACACAGCAGAATTGTTAATACGATGCGCAGTATAGCCACGTAAAGATTTCCCAAGCGCGATCTCCGGTTGGGTTTTTGATTAAATGAGCCGCCAGCAATTTATTTAGTTTGGCAAAAGATTTTCTAATGTCCGGAAACTCTGCGTTTAACATTTGCGATGGCATGAGCTCGTGTTAAGAAAAAAATCGATGATTTTCGCATAATTAAAACGTAATATAGAAACGTGCACAATATAATAATAGTATTGTACTTATTTCAATGTAATAAGTTTCTAGCTGCAGTTAACATTTAATTACATACATCAACTGACCGTTAAATCATTTTCACTTCATGTTATATTTATGTAYATTTTGTATAGAGATTTTATGTATACTAAGTCATATCATTATTTTCGTAAGTCATAATTAATATCAACACTTTCAGCTTTTGATACGATTCGATTCGATTTTTTATTTTAACGGAATGTTATTTTTAAGTTGACTTTTACATTTCACTTTTCGTAAATAGATAGTTATCTCGAATAAAATTGAAAATTTACAGTAATCCATTATTCAAATCTTTTTGAGTATGTGTATCATATAGGTACAGGACGTATTATACACCTATATTCAATGTCGCTTTCAGTGCATGCACGGCGCAATATATACGACGAATATCTCAAAAACACCCAACTAAAATATAGATTTGAAATTTCTAAAGTGCCCCTAGAGAAAATATTATCACGTTAGTTCTGATTTATAATAGGTACCTACCAAAGTAGTGCCTGTAACGAAATAATAAATGACATTCAATTTAGATAAACGACCGTAATTATTTTCCTGTAATGTTAAAACACATATATTTAAACTATCGCGCAAGCTATTTATATGTATTTTGTCGTACAAGCATGGATTTTCCTGTTCTTTAATTTTACAAACATATATATTCATAAAAATTTCAAACCTCTGTCAGAGGTTATAGAGAACCGTTAACGTTTCTGAAACATAATATTTGACAGTATTATCCGTCGTCTGTAATTTCTTG